ATGAAGATAAAAACATGGTCACCATTGTCCGCAGGGAAGCAAACGGTAGATCGACAAAAGTTGGGAAATTAATTCCAAAAGAATCACATATCATTGAAAACTTTAACAATGAAACAGGAAGAAATGTGGAAATCAAATTTGTTGGCTATTCAGACGGCAATGGTTTTTTTTTCGAGGAACCCACTCGAGATGCAGTCATCGAAGTTATCGCACCGAACCAACCAGGACCCACCCCTGCTCCCACCGACGCTTGTAGGGATTCAAAAGGAAAATTCAACGTTAACAAGCACAAAAAGAAGAAATGCAAATGGGTGAGGAAGAACAAAAAGAGGTGTGATAAAACCTTCGAAGGCAAGCCTCTCTGGGAACACTGTCGAAAATCTTGTAAAAGATGCGATGAGGACATGATTGCGGTCTGAGATTTCGGTTTACGATTATGATCTACGATTAGCATCCCCAGTATTTACTGACCGTATTTTTTATTTATCCTCCATACTAGCATCTCGTATCAGTAGCTCGTATTAAAGTCCTCGTCCATATCAACAGCTCATATCAGCAAGTCCCCTCTCACCTATGATGGATCCGCTCCAACACTGATGCAATCGTCTGTCATTGTCGTAGACCGTATCAGCAATTCCTATCAGCAATTCATGCCCGTATTCAGCGCCCAAATTTAATCGTAGACCATAGTCGCAGACCTTAATCGTATCAGGACGCTGATACGAAGGATGCTGATACGAGTTGGTACTATAGAGGATCGATATGAAAGTATGGACGCTGAATCCGGACCCTGCTGGTACGGGAGATGCTAATGAATACGGAGGACACTGAAAAAGGACACTGAAAAAGGACACTGGCGCTGTCCAGTCCGGTCTACAATTAAACTACAATACAACTATGCTCTATGATATAATTACAGCGTCCTCCGTGTTCAGTGGCGTCTTTTCCATACAATTCAGAACCCTCCATATTCGGCGTCACTGCAATCGTAGACCATATTCGTGGACCATATTCGTGGACCATAATCGTAGATCATGATTATCAGCAACTCGTATTAGCAACTCGTACCAAGAACTCGCCCCCTAAATTAGATCTGCATCTAGTAGACCTTGTCAGCGACTCGTAGTATTTGCATCATCTGAAGAAATCACGTGTGCAACAGTGCAGTTAGTGTAGTGTTAATCTATCGATAACACATTAAACAGTATGCATACTAAGACTTAGCTAATAAAGTCGACGTCATGGTGTTGAGGGCATGAAAGGGTGTTTATGCTGAATCCACACGTATGCCAAGCGCACGACATATGTGGGAAGTCTAAAAGTGGTTTACACTGTTAACTGGATAAAACTAAAAAGAATGAGAATTCTCTTATTCTACTTTTGGGTCTCTTGGGTTCACCCCCATACCATCTTCTCAATTGACGAGAGGAAAATGTGGATGCCGCCTTTGGCGGCCTTGCGGCTCCGGCAGCAGACACTGGTGCAGTGCCAACCACYGTGACGGCAACCGCCGTGGGTGCCTTTGTTGCTGCCGCTGCTTCCCTGGTCTGAGCAGGCAACAAACTTGAACCGACACCARTATTACACAGGAGAGAAAAAAACTGCATATTCCCATTACCAACCAATACATGTCCAGGAGCCAAAAGATACACGGCTGCGCTGCGCTGCGCTGCCCGGCCCGCCCATTGAGGCGTAAAATAAAAGCAAAGAAAAAACCAAAACTGCGATCCAGCCGGCCCTTTGTGGCGTGAAACAAAACGAAAGAAACACCAAAAAACCAGKTGCATGTTTACATGACAAACTAAGCRTGAGTGCTAGTTGAAACAGTACCGTAATTATTAAGTTCTTAGTAGAAGTTTGTTATGAAGTGAAAATACAAGAATACCGTAATCAATTACCGGTACATACACTASCGTACAGAACGAAGTACGAACTTCGTACGCAACGAAGCTGGGACGATCATCATTGACTATTTTACCACGCCGGGCACGCTACGAGGCAATAGTCTGGCAATAAAAATGGTAACTTACTGGCGTTACCAGAACAGTTACCACAATCTGGTAGGATTTATGGTAGCAATCCGGTATTCTTACCAGTTACCAAAATCCGACAAGAATTGCTACCATCTTGCTACCAGATTGCTACCATCAATGCTACCAGATTGCTACCACAAACGCTACCAAAATATATTCCGCGCTATGACTCATTCAAACGAATACGGGGGCTAAGAGAATCTAATTATTATAGAAAATATTTATGGTAAAATGGTAGCTACCAGATTTCGACTAGAATTGCTACCATCTTGCTACCATTTTGCTACCAGATGGTAGCAATTTTAGTCGCAAGATGGTAGCAATTCTGGTAGAAATTCTGGTAGTAATAGTTTCTTGGAGGTCCCGGGACTGCAAATAGGCTTCATTTTATATGTTAAGCTGCGCCTGCTGGTTCCATTCCAGTAACGGGTCTAGCTGCGAAGGTGCGTGGTAAAATCTTCAATGATGATCGTCCCTGTACGAGCAAAATCGAACCATGTCAGAAAATGTCATCGTATTTAGCTATCCCCGACAACAAAAAACATTTACTTAGGATTAAACTACATCTTATGACGTGGCTCGAAGTATAATAGCTCGACTCTACTTACACCTTGGACGATTCGAGTGTACTGAGAATATTTTTTACCTTAAATAGCTGCACACCAATTACGAATAAAGTCGAATCTCTACTTACACCTTGGACGATTCGAATGTACTTAAAATATTGCAAGCAACAAGTCCTAAGTAAATGTTTTTTGTTGTCGGTGATAGCTAAAAAATGATTCTTGTTGTGGTCCCATGTTCTGAAATACCATGACATCTTATGACATGGCTCGAAGTATTTTTTTAACTTTAAATAGCTAGACACCAATGACAATGTCTACTTACACCTATGACGATTCGAGTTTAATCCTACGGTACGTAAATGTTTTTTTGTTGTCGGGGATAGCTAAATACCATGACATTTTCTGACATGGTTACGAGTACGTACACGTACGAAGTTCGTACTTCGTTCTGTACGCTAGTGTATGTACCGGTAATTGATTACGGTATTCTTGTATTTTCACTTCATAACAAACTTCTACTAAGAACTTAATAATTACGGTACTGTTTCAACTAGCACTCAYGCTTAGTTTGTCATGTAAACATGCAMCTGGTTTTTTGGTGTTTCTTTCGTTTTGTTTCACGCCACAAAGGGCCGGCTGGATTGCAGTTTTGGTTTTTTCTTTGCTTTTATTTTACGCCTCAATGGGCGGGCCGGGCAGCGCAGCGCAGCGCAGCCGTGTATCTTTTGGCTCCTGGACATGTATTGGTTGGTAATGGGAATATGCAGTTTTTTTCTCTCCTGTGTAATAYTGGTGTCGGTTCAAGTTTGTTGCCTGCTCAGACCAGGGAAGCAGCGGCAGCAACAAAGGCACCCACGGCGGTTGCCGTCACAGTGGTTGGCACTGCACCAGTGTCTGCTGCCGGAGCCGCAAGGCCGCCAAAGGCGGCATCCACATTTTCCTCTCGCGAGAGAAGAACCTCAGTGCCAAAGGAGCCGCTGGTGTCCGCCTTGTTGCCGCTTTCTTGGAGGTGGCGCTGCAAGAGATCACCGCTGTTGGTCGAGAAGCTGGCAGTCAATCGACGATTTGGGGGTGTCACCTTGTAGACCGCAGACATGAAGCTGCCAGTCAATCGACGATTTGGGGGTGTCACGTCGTAGACCGCAAACGCCAAGTCATGGTCAGAAACAGCCCATTCATACAGACTGTCTTCGACGAGCTCAGGATTACAAAAGTTAATACCAGTTTCCGAACCAGGGCATGTCTCACTGGTTACCTCGAGGTCATGACCAGAGGTGCAAACACAAAAAAATTCAGGAGGACTATCATCAACCATAGTGTGTGGGCAACCCAAAATAAAGTACTCATATCCTCCATCACTGCAATGATCATTGCATCGCTTCACGTCATCCTCGGTCCCACCACTATCTAAGGGATATTGCTCCATAGGATCATTCCTTATGAATCCGCATCCCACTTTCTCATACTGGAGTAATGGCTTGGGGTTGGTGAAGCTCAGCTTCACCGTGCCTGAGCACGTGGCCGTAGGTTTATCGGCTGAATAATACCCGGGAGTCACTACGGTGCCAAAAGACGAAACGCCCGATTCAACAGGTTCATCAGCCTTCCTGTACTCTTGGGGATTAGTGTTAACTTGTGTCAGTGCCGTCGCTATTCCATCTACCACCACTTTGGCTGGTCCACACTGCACATTTTCGAATCCAACCACGGCAACATAGTCATACTTCTCCTTCTCTGCATTAGTAGGACCAACGCAGATGGAGAAGCTCTGACCAACCTTGTATTCGCGTTCTGGGTTTCCTGAATCAGATTGACCACACAGATAGGAGTCCAGCTCGACTGTCTCCTTTTCATTTTGTTCCAATGACATGATGCTGGTGCCCACAATGGAAAAGTCCGTATCAAACCTCCCTTCCGCATCGAAATGAACCTTAACCAATGTGTCAACAAAGGAGATATATTCGTTATCATGCTTCTTGGAAACCCGAGCACATGCCTTAAAAGTACCAATATTCGGGTTGTCTGAATTTCTAATTGTCCAGGCTAAATCATCGTGTAGCTTCATTTTGAATACAGCTTGACCTAATAACAACAGTACAATGAGAGCACAGAGGAAGAGTATGATGAGGATTAACTTAAATTTCATGGGATCCACCCATCACAAACACCCTTCCAGAAAGCTATTCGTTGTCGCCAATGGCCTAACGTACCAATACTTCCATCGCTTGTAACCCTCAAATCATCATAAGGTGAACCAGACGATATTCCTTTAAATTCATAGGTGTAGCCTTCATGGCCATCCACAATCTTGTTTCCAAGGTCGCACGCCTCGCTTTCTTTGCCTCCTGTAAACACCTCAATCGTTGGTGTAGAACCAAAATCTCCTTCAACGTGGAGAACAACATCGATCATAGGATCAGCTCCATCACCTGTGTTTATAAAAGCAAATGTGGTGCCGGTGTCATCGTTACCGATTGGATGGAGCTCCCATGGTCCTACCTTATGCTTTATTTCATCATGATCTCCTTGGACGAACCAAGGTGAACAGTTGAAGCTGAGGGCAGCGACGGCGATTTTGGAGAAGTTCATATTGCAGTAGGAGGTTGATGTTTGCGTTTTGCTTTTTGGGCGACAGGGGTAGGTTGGACAACAACGGAATGGAATCGGAAAAAGACGATGAGTTGCGAGGCTATCGGATGTTACAAATCCAGGCCTGACATGTTATGTGCAATGCGTCCGTAGCCAACGACCGGCACTGTCCTGCTTGACCGGATCTTTTCCGTCCAGATCCCTGAGGGTGGCCGCCGTCGGTGACCTCGGTAAGCATCGGTAAGCATCGGTGAGCATCGGTAAGCACCGTCGTCGGTACCATCGTTATACGCGATCGTCTATACCATCGGTAAACGCGGTCGTCGATCCAGTCTGCCGGTGTTTGGAGCATGCAGTTCCATGACAGAGGATCGCAATCGAATAACTTACCTGGTCAGTTAGTGGTGTTCTTGTTCGAGAGCTGTGTGTTTTGGGATCACACGTTTTTGTTTTGTGAGATGAGAGTGAGGAAAAGAGCGATTGTACTCTCCGAGAGTCGAATATAACGAAAAATACAGTAAAATGTACTTACACTGTTCAATGACCACAATCCAAAAAAGACCAGTCGATGTGGGTAAACGAAGGCCACGCGGACGCCATTGAATTTCAGATGTTGAAGATATCTTTCCTGATTCTTTGTGTGTTGAATGCATGATGAGAGCGGACATGACAAAAAGTATTGAATTGAGTGAAACGAAGGTAAGTACTTGTACAACGAAGCTGTACGAGCGACATCGAACCATGTCAGAAAATATACCACGTCACTATGTGTAATTAGAATAGTTTTTACCTTTTGCAATATTCTAAGTACACTCGATTCGTCCTAGGTGTAAGTAGAGATTCGACTTTGTTCGTAATTGTTGTCCAGCTATTTAAGGTAAAAAATATTCTAAGTACACTCGAATCGTCCAAGGTGTAAGTAGAGATTCGACTTTATTCGTAATTGGTGTCGAACTACTATACTTCGAGCCACGTCATAAGATGTCATGGTATTTCAGAACATCGGACCACAACAAGAATCATTTTTTAGCTATCACCGACAACAAAAAACATTTACTTAGGATTTGTAGCTTTCAATATCTTAAGTACACTCGAATCGTCCAAGGTGTAAGTAAATCAATGATGGTGGCTCGAAATTATATCATGACATTTTGTGATATGCCACGATATTGAAAGACTTTCTAGAGCTCATGTCAGGATGTTGGGTGATTCCCGCATACACTTTCCGGAACCAACGACCTCAACCTCAACCGAAAAAAATGAAACGAAGGTAAGTACTTGTACAACGAAGCTGTACGAGCGAAATCGAACCATGTCAGAAAATGTCATGGTATTTAGCTATCCCCGACAACAAAAAAACATTTACGTACCGTAGGATTAAACTCGAATCGTTATAGGTGTAAGTAGACATTGTCATTGGTGTCTAGCTATTTAAAGTAAAAAAATACCATGAGCCACGTCACAAGATGTCATGGTATTTCAGAACATGGGACCACAACAAGAATCATTTTTTAGCTATCACCGACAACAAAAAACATTTACTTAGGATTTGTAGCTTTCAATATTTTAAGTACACTCGAATCGTCCAAGGTGTAAGTGAATCAATGATGGTGGCTCGAAACAATATCATGACATTTTGTGATATGCCAMGATATTGAAAGACTTTCTAGATCTCATGTCAGTATGTTGGAAGAATAAGATAGTGAATACTTTATTTGACTCAACAAGCTTACCGTATTTTCAACCATCGTCTTGGAACTGTGACAGGATTTCGTATCACGAACACGATGGTATCTCTCTACTTCATCAAATGTAATTTCGCGATTCTACAAGAAATTGCATCATGCTATCGTAATGTCTCCCTAGATGAATATCTTCAAAGTGGCAAACATCATATAACCTGACATATAGCAGATGGAATCAATTATATCATTTGAACTATACTACTAGTATTTTTGCAAGGCGTTTAACCAAAACAAGCTAGCAGAACACAGATGACGAACCCGTAGCATCTTTTGCAAAGCAGCCGTGCAGCCCATGGGGAATCGCCGATTTCAGCCACAAGGTCGCCACTGGTCCTTCTTTCAGCTCTCTTTGTAGATCGAATATTGCGACACCCGTCTTGTCGATGACCGCATCATAGACCATTCCTAGTAGGTAGGCTGAGGTTTCGTCGTTAGGGTCACCGCCTTCTTTCGGCACGATTAGCGGCTCCCCCGCGGAAGCTCGCGTGCCAAACCACCACGCATCAATGGCCTCGTTCTTGGTGCCCTCTGGCAACGTTTCTTCGTCCCCTTCTTCGACGTTGATTTTCACGAAACCGCACGGTGCACTCGAGTCGCCGACCACGTTACTACCCGCAGCGTAGACGTACTTGGCTCGTTTGGTCGCAAAATTCGGATGCACTAATGGGTGTTCCGCGCAGGCATTCGCGGCTCCGGGTGCAATGCCGTGCTTGACACATTTCTTCGTCACAGGATCGATTACGAGTTCCCACAAACAAGTCTTCGGGATTCGATTGAATTCTGGAGCAAAGCCTCCCCAGGCACCCAGGAAATCCTTCTCGTCGGAAGGTGGCCAGCCCGAAAAGAACATGCGAATGTACCCGGTGGTTTCGTCTTCGTATGCGTGGGAAAAGTGAATCGAGAAACAAGCTGGGACCTCCACTACGTACGGTTCGAACTGCTTTTCGGCCGCATTCGTGGGCCGTGGCATGACGTGCACGACGACGTTCGATCGTCCATCCATTTCGAGGCTTGCAGCCGGCCCTTCAATACCCGATAGGAACTTCGCAGAGTTCATTTTCAGTGAATTGACTTTGAGAATGACGCAGTGCTTGGTAAGGGCCATGTCGTGGGGTGCCAACTCGCAATTTTTCAACACAAATGTTTTGGAGGCCACGGGGCTGAAATCGTCGGGAGACCATTCCGTAATAGTGGCCTCGAGGGATTTTTCGGCCGGCAGCTGGGACCAGTGCCACCCTACCAGGTTTCCTGTGTTCGGACATATATTCGGGTGGGCTGTGTGTGCGGAGCCCCCAATAAAATCGGGAGTGAATTCCTCGGGAACGCTCGGTCCAAGTTTTACGGGCGTGCCTTTTTTCAAAACGCCCCCCAGGGTGTCTTCCCCCATGTTTTTTAGCGTGTTGGGATCCAGTCGATGTGGCAAACCGGCCTCGAACAAGGCCAGTACCTTTCCTCCAAAGGAAATAACTTGTGTGTTGGCCGAATTTTTAATGTCTGTTTTAAACACATTTCCAGCAATTTTGCTGAGCAGTGGTACTTCCCAGGGATCCTCGTTCAGCCCTTTTCGTGGGGGTTCTGCATATCCTGTCGGTCCGGTTCCAAAGGTACCTCGGTACAAAAATGCTTTCTTTTCTTCTTCCGCTTTCATTTGGTCCGTCTCGACAAACCTGGACAAGAACTTGAAGTTTCGATTCCCAGCTTCGTCTCTGGGTGGGAAGGTGACCTGGATGACGAGACCATCAGCATCGAGAGCGTGTTGGACTCTCTCCCCCCCAACGCCAAATTTTCCTGGGCCATTTCGGTAGAGGCATCCTACTAAGTCCTCGGGTATGGTGCCCTCGATCATCGTATTTTCGTCGATTTTATACTCGGCATAACCGGTCTTGGGATCGATGAGCGAAGGGAAGTCCGGCGGGCTCTGGTATGTGTGCCATGCTTTTCTCCAGTCTCTCGTCAGGAACACCCCCCTTCCAAGATCGCTTTGGTCTTCGGTAGGATGCGTTCCGTTTTCAAGCGCTTCCAAGAGTTCGGAAGACAGAGGTGGTTGGTTTGGGTTGTTGAGGGTCGGTCCTATCTCCCAAAATCTCTTGTCCAAATCGGCATCCGGTGTTGCTTCCGTAGTGGAGGTGGGTGTTGAAGTGTCATTTTCGACTGTCGAAAAGAGCGGTTGTTGCAAAATTCGCTGTTTCTTCGGATTCGGCGAAGGCTTTTGATGCGATGTTGTGAAAAGACTTTTTTGGCCCTGAAATGCATGGGTTCTCGCTGATGACAAGAAAACACTTGCAGCAAGAAAATAAGCGGACCTATTCATTACCTCTTTCATGATTGTATTCGATACGACGAAGAGATTGTGAAATTGAAGAAAAATAATTTTTAATGTTGTTAGTAGTACGTAACGTACGATACCTCGTAGGTGTACGTGCCATATCGAGCTGTCTCTCCGTTTTGACGTAAAAACCCGACAGAGGTACGGTACGAGGAAGCTTATGAAAGAAGTAGAATTCATCCAACAATTCATAAGCTGATTCATAAGCTGACTACCAGCTGATGACGTCTGGATGCTGATTGAGGTGATGGGGTTGAAGTACTTTTTTAGCTTCAAAAATGCTTCTTAAGTTCCACTATTACGGTACCGGTACGAACCGTACGAACTTTCACCATCGATACTGTAAAAGCTCATTTGTACGTAGGGTACCGTACTGAACTGCACGAAAAATCTCGCTCCGCGCCGATCGTCGCAGGATATAGCCAATAATATGCCCGGAAATCTTCAACGACACGTTTTTCTTAGATACCTTTTTGGCACATTTCAGATGTCATTTCGAGGAACATCATGATCCTCATAGTGATAGGAGGTAGGAAAATCGTCATGATCCTCATAGGAAAATCGAATTAGTTCCTTCCTCAAACCAATTTCTTTTCCTCGTCCTTTTCCCATCAAAGAACGATTCATCAATTGGTAATGCACTTTATAACACTTCTTCCATGATCATAATATAGTAAACAAAATGCGAAAGAATGATTCAAGCCACCAAAATTCTCCTCTCATCAACAAAGAAGGAGACGAAAATATTTCGGTAGAAGAGCGATTGCAAGACTGGGCTTTCTTACCAGAGAGAGATAGTTCGAGCGCTGATCGAAAGCTTCTAGACAATTCATGGTCGGACCTCTATCGAATGATTCATGACGATAAGAATTCGAAAAAGACTATCTTGGACTACATTTATTCCAGTCCCCATGAAGTAGAGGCACCGATAGCGAACGGGGACACACCTTTCCGCCTCGCCCTTCGCACTGGATGCGACTTCGACGTGATAAGTGCCATGATTGAAGTGGCTCCGAATGCGTCGAAAGACAAGGGCTATCCAACTCCATTTATGGAGGCCTTATGCCCCGAACCAACAATCTGCACAGACCCCATGCGCGTGGACGTAGACATGGAAGTGATAGAAACCCTAATCCATTTTCGTCCGGAAGCCGTCAGAAACCCGCTCGCCCTTGGATATCTTTGTAGCAAAGGCAATCCATCCGTAACCTCTCTAGAGCTTGTAAAGCTATTGATCAGTCATTGCCCGAACGCGGTTCAAACGACAAACGGGGCTACGAATAGGAATATGCTGCCACTGCATAGCGCTTGCGAATCTGGGATGTCCATAGATGTCGTGAGGTACCTATTAAATTTGTTTCCGGCGGCGAGCTCGACCAAATGTGAACCCTGCAATTCCATGATCACATCAAAAGGTCCATATGTCCTCGACGTGGAAGCGAGATTGCCAATTGAGTTGGCATGTGTCTCAAAATCTCCGAGTGTCGATGTTGTCAAACTATTGACTGAGCGACAAACAAAGAATATGAACCAGATGAATACAGATGGTTACGATGCAAACTTTGGCAAACTCTTGCTTTTGATTGCTTGGGCAACGCGGAAAAGCTATTTGGAACATGGGAAAGATGGAACAGTACAGAGACCTAATTACAAAGAAATCATCGAGTATCTCCTTCCAATGACAAATAGCAAAGAACGCCTCAGAGTCCTGAATGCGATCATCACGGAAAATGCATGGGACGATGCCCAATCCTTCGAGTACACGAAGCTTCTGTGCGATTGCACATCGGTGAATGGCACGATGGTCCTACACGCTGCGGTAGAAAGAGGACTCATCAACATTTCTAAATTGATATGCGATATTTCTCCTTCCCTTGCAAGAAAAAGGGATAGGAACGGGTGCCTTCCGCTTCATATAGCGAGTACGGTCGAAAAACACCATTCAACACAAAAGACTCCAATGGCCGAGTTTCTCAAAAGCGCCAATCGGCGCAAAGTAGTCATACAGCGCATTTTGATAGCAAAGTATCCCCGAGCACTGGTACTCAAGAATCATGAGGGGAGAATACCCTGCGAAATGGCGGGGAGGTATGCTTCTGGTACCGTCGCTATCAATGCCAAATCATCTATCCTTCGAGAAGACTTTTCGGCGTTTTGCACGAAGAAACACGACTGTCTACGGAGTCGGGAAGGGATAGAGAAAGTTCTGTTGCATGAAAAGAAAAAAATACATACGAACCCAAGGAGACGATATTCTTATACTGTCTTATTCCATGAGTTGTTGTTGGAGAAATCTTCTTTGTATAAACGTTACCTAGAAAGTCCAAGAGAACGCGCAAAAAGGCGTGTCTTGTATTTGGAAGAATTGCTTGAGTGTATGACATTGACATATGGAAAACTGTAATTGGGCGCGAATCCGTTTTCGAATATATTTCGGAGATATATTCACATCAGGTTGTGGCCTGAGAAAAGCGCCAGCACCAGATTCGAAAATGTAAAGAATCTAGATCAATTCTTTAAAATCTCCACTCTGCTGAGTCGTATACTGCAGACGTACTGCAGCCATGTTCTTCGTCACATCTATGATTGGATTCCTTGTAACCTCAAGGCTTCATTGATTTCATGATACTTGCTGTCCAAAGCTCCCGATTGCCCTGGAGTTTTTTGAAATCTCCAGGAGTCCGAAAAGACCTCCCTGCTATATTCCTTTGGACGGTGGTCCACTTGTCCGTTTCGAAGGCTTGCAACACGGCCGGGCCGAACGGACCATGCGTCGGTGCCGCATCCGGGGGAAAGGTCAGAACAGATACATAAAGGCCCTCCGTAGAAAACCCAATCAACGAAACGGTCAGAGCTCCGTCCTCCTTGTTTCTTTCGAAGGTTTCCTTTGCATTTTCGACAACGTCGTCCTCCAGGATCTTATAGCTCTGAAAAAATTGTTCCTCCGTAAGCGTCCGAAATATCGGCGTGGCCTCGGCCATGTCGATAACAACGTAACAGTATACGATGGAGAAACCCTTGAGGGACGCCTGGAGCATGATCTTGTTGAGTTGCTCGGCGAAGAGTTCCTTGCCCTCTCGCAAAATTACCTCCGAAGACGGTTTGGGTGCTGGATATTTTCGTAGCAACAGGCAATCGTCCTGGTGCAGCATGTAATTCAGACGCAAGCAGTCAGAGGAACAGTACACAACGGATTTGCAAAAAGGGCACTTTTTCTTCGTCTTCTTGTCCTCACCGCATTTTTCGCCGCAGAATTCGCATTTTGGAACCCGCTTGGCTTCCTCCGTGGTTTCCTCGTCGGCAACCGCGGCTTCCACGATTTTTTCGATCTCTGGGAGGCAGGCGAACAAAAACGGAGGACGGTCCTTGACTCGCTCGATCTTTGCGCGGATTTCGTCGGCCTTGAGTTGGATGGACGTCTTGGTCAGTGGGAATTTGGCCATGGCGAAGACTATTTTGAGAAATTTAGTCAGGGGTCCGACGAATCGACTGTCGGTGCAGGCGTCGCACATGTCGCAGCAATATTCCAAGAGCCCGCTATTGATTGCGTTCGAAACATTGAAGTCTATCGGTGCCTGTCGTCCTTTCTTATCGAGGGGTGTGACGATGCTTGCAGTCAGAACAACCAGGCCGGTAGTGACGTTTTCGAAAAAGTGGTTTGGTTGGATGGTTCGTTTTTTGGATGCGTGCGAGAGCAAATAGTTCCGGCAAATCGAAACCAAGTTGGAGGAAACGCATTCTGCCCCAAATTTTCCGCTCAAGCGACCGCCCCAATCGTACAGCTTCAAAAAGAGAATCATCGCCGAGGTATATCCACCCCGGTACCACCCATCACTCGTCGAATTTTCCAACAGTTTCACCAAGCCCGTTCCGAGCACCAGGCCGCCTCCCGGAACAACCGGGGTGATCGCAAATTCACCCAGCAATGCATAAACATCAACCTTGTCTTTGTGGTCACGACCAACACCGTTTTTCTCGTCTCTCTTTGCCCTATTGATTGCTGCCGCCGCCTTTTTCTCGGTCACGGTTTTGATCGCAAACGCGCAATAGCTCTGGCAGTAGCCAATGATTTCTGTTTCCATCGGATTTTGTGAAGCACCGGCCGCCTCGAATTCCCGAATTTCGTCGATAGCCTCCTTCGGAATGCCACCTAGTTCCATATAGATAGTTCGAACCAAGAAGTGCTTGATGGGTGGCATGTTGAGCAAGAAATCGGCGACGTGTGGATTTTCCGACGTTATCAAATTCCGCAACAGGGCCGAAAAATACAAGAGGGACCGAATCCAAGAGTCGCGACGACCGAAAAACTTGCGTTTCTCAAAATCCGACACGTCTAGAAAGACACCCTGGATGTGGTTGACGACCTTGTATTGGAGTTTGTTTTGCATGGAAGAATTTTTCAGAAATCCATCGCGGGAGACACATCCTATGATCTGCAACCAAATCGATGGGCATTGGATCACGCCATCTTTTCCTGCATGGGGAAGAGCTTCTCGGAAGTCTTCGTTGCTTTTCAGCAAGAACTCTAGTATCTTGTCGACGGCACCGGCTGCTACCAGTGCGGTCCGATATTCTTCGCCGGTGCTTTTGCCTCCTTGTCCGTTACTCTGTGGAAACTGCGACTGTGACTGCGACTGAAATGACAAATGCTCTGCTGTGACAAGAAAGGCTTGGGTTGGGAAATATTTCCCCTGAGCTATTTCTTCTACAACTTCATTTGGATCTTGCTTTCCCCATGTTGTTCTCAAATAATCCAGGAACGATTTGTCGCTGGTATAACTTGCCATCGCCTTGTAGATCTGTGGTGTCTTGTCTTGGTTTTGATGTGCTTTGGATATAATCACTGCACTTTTCAGAGAAGCACGGTCTATCAATCAATCAACCACCGCATACAACGTATTTTCGGAAAGGTGAAAAGTACCGTTTTGTACTCGTGGTCATCGTCATGATTTTTCACGATCTAAATCAAGATCAACCACCGTACAAACGTACAGGTACAGTCCATGTAAATCAATTTACAATACGTGACACAGGTAAAAATATCAAGGATTTACTGTATTTGAAAAAAATCTTATTTCGTAGGCTACGAGTACGAGTACACAGCGACGACACTGCAAATTTGCAGTACTCGTACCCACAGAGAGATTTTTTGTAATCGAACAGTTGCTGGATTTTAGCATGTAATCACGCGCGCTGGGATACAAAAAGAGTATACGTAATCGCAGGTATTAAACCCTAGTTATCTTTTACTTGATAGAGCTATTAAAGGCAAGCCCCGTAGTGGCAAGTTATTGGCAATTCCCCTGGTGTCAATTTTTTCTCATTTTCCCGTCTTTATTTCCCCTCTCCCCCCCCCTCCGAAGTCCTAAAATATTTCTACTATTATTGCTCCTTACTACTGGGGATATAAAATCAGTGGTTACTACTTGAGAATTAATATTAGTGCTTACTTCTGGTGGATCACCCCCATTACTAGTACTTACTAGTAGTTGGGATGCCATAGTAGTGAAAACTGCAAACCACTGATATGGAGGATGCTGATAGTACGAGTTGCTGATACGGAGTAGCTGGTGCTAACTGCTTGCTGGAGCTTGAGCTTGAGCTTGAGCTTGAGCTTGAGCTTGAGCTTGAGCTTGAGCTTGAGCTTGAGCTTGAGCTTGAGCTTGAGCTTGAGCTTGAGCTTGAGTTCTCATGAGCTTGAGTTCTCATGAGCTTGAGTTCTCATGAGCATGAGCATGAGCATGAGCATGAGCATGAGCATGAGCATGAGCATGAGCATGAGCATGAGCATGAGCATGAGCATGAGCATGAGCATGAGCATG